GGCGGGGGAGGGGCAGGCCCGGGCAGGCGTGGGGGGAATTCCCCGCCCCCTCCCGGCGGCTGCTCCGAGGCCTCTGATCTCCGCGCCGCCCCCGGGGCTTGGGGGGAGGCCAGCGCAGGTGCGTGGGAGGCGGAGGCCGGCCGGGAGGGGGCCCCGGCCCGGAGGCGCCCGGACCCCCTGCCCCGCAGTCCAGGCTCCCGGCCCGCACCTGGCCCCTGCCCGCTGTCCGGCCGACGGTCTGTCTCCCCCAGCCGCTCCCGGTCCCCCCTAAGCAGATGGGGAGGGAAGAAGGGGGAGCAGGGTGAAGCAGGACCGGCGGGAACCGTCGCACCGAGGACTTGGGGCCAGGGGCGGGTCGCTAGGGGTGGGGGCATCAAGGAGGTGGGCTCGCTAGGACTCAGGACAGCCCGCGCCCCCTCCTTGGGGAGCCCTCTCAGCCCTGACGCGTCTGGGCTCGCCCAGCTTCCCGGTCCCCTGAGCACGAGAGGCCGGGTGTCTCCCGCCTGACCCCCATAATGGGGGAGGGAGCAACCTGCCAGCAAGCGACCACTCCAGCTGACCAGGCCCCACGAGGGGAGAGGGACTCAGTGGGGTGGCTGCAGGGGAACTGTCCTTGGTTGTGCAGGAGAGGATGGTCTGGCTGAGTTGTGGCTCTGAGCCCCCCTCTCAGCCTGGCCACCCAGCCTCCATGGCCTTGGCCTGTAGAGGGGGAGGAGGTGGCCAGCAGACCCAGCGGTCAGTCCTGCTGCTAGGGGTACTGAGATCTGAGGGTGTGCCTGCCACAAGCTCCAGTCCCAAGTCGCTCAGGGAACCTCCTTGAGAACTAAGGCAGGCTTCAAACCTATGCCCCCATCAGTTCTAGAATGTTTCACGCCCAGGCTTTCCAAGCACCTGCTGGTTACTTCTCCTGATACCCTGCGGGTGGACATGGTCATTTCCCCATCTCTGCAGACCGGCAGCCTGGGGCTCAGACAGACCCACATGACTTGCCCCAAGTCACCAAGATTCAAACGCAGATTTTTTTGATAGCTGTTGCACACTTGCACCCCACTTCTGCTTCAGGGGTCCCTGATGCCACAGAGACCTCCGGGTTCATAGTCAGGTGCTTCCCCCTCACTGCACGTGCTTCCTAGGGGTCCCAAGTCACTTGGCAGTGCCTGGAGCAGGATCCCTGGACCAATTCATTTCAAAGCCCGAGAGACTGAGGCCAGAGAGGGGCAGAGGTCATCCCAGGTCACCAAGGCCGGCTTCCTCCTGGGATCCCCTCCCCCAGGTGAGACCCGTCCCCTGCCTGGTCACCTCCAGGGCAAGCAGAGTCGCAGGCCCAGATGGGCCACTCCGGGGCAGTGGAGAGAAAGGGGCTGGGTGTGGAGAGACACTGAGAAACCCAGGGCTGCCGCCCCCTCAACCTCCCTCCTGGGGCCGTGGGTAGCTGGATTCGGCAGGATCCCCAGCCTGTGTGCTGGAGAGGATGGAGAGGTGGGGGGCCTTGGTGGGAGGGCAGGCCAGGCCACTTTGACTCAGCTGAGGCCCCAGGAAAGGGCAGGGGCAGACGCAGACCTCGGCCACCGACCCTGAGCACAGGGCAAATGCTGCCGAGTGTAGACCAAGCCCTTTCGCTGCCAGGAGAGCGCTATTCAAGAGGAGGCCGGGCTGCGAGCCGCACACTCTGAGCCAGGAATCCTGGGTCCACCCACTGCACAGCCGCTCTTCCCCTTCTTCCTTAAGTCCCCACCTTTCTGGGGGGATAATGCCCCCTTTGGGGTGCAACCCCCTCCCAAGAACGAGGCCTGGGAAGGGCTGCAGTGAGCGGGGCTGAGCCTGGTGTGGCCGTACCACGTGCTGCTGTCGCACAGAGTGTGTGGGCACACGGAGCAGTACACAATGGGGAGATTTAATAAAACAGTTTATTGGGGTGAAGGTGTAGGCGAAGCAAGAGAAGGCTGGTCGGGACGTCCAGCCCACAGTGGGGCGCAGGCGGCAGGCTAGGGCTCCGGGAAGAGGCTCACGTGCTCCCCCCATCCCAGGACAAGCCACAAAGGTCATGGTGAACAAGGAAACTCCACGTCAGTGTGTCCTCAGAGGCAAGCAGGAACCCCAAGTTCTCGGCAAAGCTACCAGGGAAGACGGGCCACACCCTGGTGCCTCAGGACCTGCCGCTCCTCATGCTTCAGAACAATGTGGGCAGTTGAGGGGTCTGCCCACGTGGCTTCCCAGAGACCCAGGGCTGCGCTCCCACTTCCAGAAGCTGCGTGAGACACATCGGCCACAGGGGCGAGGAGCACTGGGTTTAAGTTGGCGGACAGCCAAAGAAAAAAAAAGTGACTGGGGGCATAAGGTGCCTCCAGTACAGTTCACTATGAGGTGGAGGAGGGTGGGGACCGAGGCTGCACCTGCAACAGGAAGCCAAAGGCCACGGAGACCCACCTGGCAGCGTCCTGGAGACACTGTCCACGGAGGACAGCTCTGAGTGACAGGTGGACACTGCAGCACACGGGCTCACGGCAGCGTCTCACTTTATGGGGCCAGAGCGGGACCCAGTGGGAAAAGGCGAGGTCCTGAACCCTGAAAACAGGAGCTACCGGGGCTGGGGTGGCAGGAGACCAAGGAGGCGGCATCTCAGGTGGCAGAGGACAAGGGAGGTGGTGTCTTGGTCGACTCTTGTCGTTCAGGCTGCAGCAGCAGTCACGACCCTTGCCGGGCACAGGCCGACCACCTGGAGCTCAGTTCTTTGGTGCCTGAGTGCCCAGGGAAGCACTCCTGGGGCAGCCTCTGCAGGGACTGTGAGGGCTCTCGACACCCTTGGGACAGTGGAAAGAAGCATTTGTCAAGCAAAATCTAAGTGGATGGAAGATGCTGACGCCGTGTGGATGAGAAGCTCCCTTGAGATGCCTGGAATCTGCATAGCGCCTCCACTCAGGTTGGGGAGAAGGTTCTGTGTCACTCTGACTCACTGTCCACTTTCACACTCATGATTTTCCTGATCACAAAGAGACACGTGCATTAGGAAAGTTCAGACGTGACACAGACCGGCAGTACAGACAGGTAAGGTTCCTGTAATATCTTCCCAGACATAACCATGAACCAGATTACTTATACACGCATACACATGCTGTTGGCTTGAGATCTGCTAATGTTGATGTTTATGGCTATAACTTTCCCTCAAAGCGCTGCTTTAGCTGCATCCCATAAGTTCTGGTGTATTATGCCTTCATGTTCATTCCTGTCTACCAAAACCAAACCAAACTCACTGCCGTTGAGTCGATCCTGACTCATAGCAACCCCTCCTTGGGTTTCTAAGGTAGTATCTCTATGCAAGTAGATTGCCCAATCTTCCTTTGAGGAGTGGCTGGTGGGTTTGAACCACCAGCCTTCTGGTTAGCAGTCAGGTGCCTTAGGCACTATGCCACCAGAGCTCCCATTCATGTCCACGTATTCTCTAATTGCCCTTGTGACTTCTTTGACCCACTGGTGATTCAGGTGTGTGGTATTTAATTCTCCCACATTTGTGAGTTTCTCAAGTTTCTTTCTGTTATTGACTCCTTGTGTGATTTTAGTGCTGAATTTGCGGAGGCTTGTTTTACGACCTAGCACACAATCCACAGTGAATAACATTGCATGTGTCTGACAAGAATGTGTATCTGACTGGCATTGGCCACTTTCTTTTGCCATCTTCTCTCTCTTGGACCACTCGCTGGGGTGGGTGGTTAGCTTCCATGTCTTGAGGACATGCAAGCAGAGGTCTAAGGAGAGGAACCACATGGGAAGGAACTGAGGCCTCCAACCAAGAGCCATTTGCATGAGGGACCTGTCTTAGAGTGGAACCCCCCCACTGCCAGTCAAGCCTTCAGATGCCTGTAGCCCCAGCTGACATCCCTTCCTCAAGCTCATGAGAGACTCTGAGTCTGAACCCTCCAGCCCTAGCACTCCCAGACCCTCGCCCCACAGAAACTGTGAGACAGTAAGTCTCTGTTGTGCTCTAAGCCCTATGCTTTGGGTTAACTTGTCATACAGCAGCAGGTGACTAATACACTTACCCGTAAACCTGCTGGCTTTCCGGTGAGCATGTCTGGAAGCACAGTTGCACTTTCGGTAGAAGTTGTATCTTTTCTAAGGAAAAAAAAAATGGAAAACGTGGGTTCATAATTGTCTTGTGGAAGCTGACAGAACCAATGACACACACCTTGTCAATGAGGATGTCAAGGTCCTTGCAGTAAAGAAAACCCAGTGAAGTGACTCTGATATGGACCGAGTCACTAGGAATTGTGACGTTCTGACACCACAACCAATCTGTGCCTGGTTAAATATGCTACTTGAGACCCCTAAGAGTCCATCTTCATCTTCATCAAAAGGACTGAGAGTCAACTGGCTGTCAAAAGCTGATGGATGTCACCACCAAGTGCTGGTAACAGTTCACACCCTCCACTTCCTGTTTCAATGGCTTCCTCAGAGAAATCGTTTTTTCCTTCCCTTTTCTCTTAGTGGAAATTGTTTCTTTTTGTTGTTTTATACAATTTGGAGTCACTTCTATTTTTCAAGAAGCGGCCCTTCCTATTTCTACGGATCAGTGAGAGACATGGAGTGCTTCGTAAAGACTGGCTTTACGTTGTTTACGTCAAGGGAATCCACTCTCAGCTCAGTACCATTAAGTCTTTAACAAGTCTGCTTGTGTGAACAGGTGTGTGCACACGCGTGCCCACCTGCCCGTGAGTGCTCACATCGGTGCACTACTGGTCTGTTTTATTTGATTTTCAATGAGGACGACAATCCATAAAAAGTTAAGAGTTGTTAGAATTGAAGAAAAGTTAACAAGGGCTAGATGGGGGCTGACTTTAAGGACGGGCCATTTAGGCGTGTTTTCAGGTCAGGGAAGGAGCCAGTAGAGGGGAGAGGTGGTAGGTTCTAGAAGCGGGCTGGACCAGAGCACAAAGCTCCTCAGATAGTAACTGACTGTAGCTCTGTCCCCTGGATTTAGTAGCAGGGCCCAGGGGACGGACGGACACACACACACACAGCCGGACACACACACAGCCGGACACACACACACAGAGACACACACATAGCCAGTCGCCACCAAGTCCGCTCCAGCTCCTAGCCATCCCGTGAGCAGACTGTGCTCCAGAGGGTTCAAGGCTGTGAGGCTTTGGGACATCACCAGGCCTCTCTTCTGAGTGCCTCTGGTGGATGTGAACTGCCGACCTTCCAGTCCACACCACCCGAGGGCTCCCAAGAGATCCCAGCCCTCTCACATGCCTCTCTGCCCACTCCCCATCTGTACCTGGGTCTTCCCCCTGGGCCAGGCCGGGGAGCTGCTCCCGCTGCCGCAGGGCCTGCAGGCCGCCCAGGTCAGGCGGGTGGCAGTGTCCCCGCATCACCGTCACCTGTGGGCCCTGGGTGATGGCCCGGCTGCGGCAGCCCAGCCGGGCCTGGTCCCGGCACATCCAGTACACCTTGTCCCCGGCCGCCTTCTCCTTCCTGTAGAGGAATGACTCGTGCACCAGGAACCGGCCCCCTAGGGAGGTCCGGAGGAACTCCAGAGGCCGGAGCATCCCTGAGGAAGACATTGCAGGCAGTGGAGCCCCAGGGACCAGGCCGGGGACACAGGCTGCGGCTGGGCGCCAGGGAGGGGCTCGGCCTCCATCATCCACCAGGCAGCCCACCCGGAAGTGCACCCCCTCTTTCGTCCCAGTGGGACTGGCTGAACGCACCTGTACCCCCAGCCTGGGGCCCCGACTCCCCGAAGTGCAGCCACAGGCTGGGGTGCTGTCAGTCCACGCCCCAGTCTCCCTGGAGGCCCCACCCAATGCCACACTTGACTGCGAGTCCCCGGGGCATAGGCTTTGCAGCCCTGCCCGGCCAGACCTCCAGGCCCCTTGGCCAGCTGGGCAACCACCCGAGAACCCTAAGAACTGAAAGCATCTTGAGAACTTTGAGAGCCTGAGCTGAGGGCCGTGCACTGCTGTCTGGGGGACAGGCTGACCGTGAGGGAGCAGAAGCGGAGGCGGGCAGCGGCGGGGGGCAGGAAACAGACAAGCACCCCAGGGAGGGGGTGACAGGGCGGCTGGGCTGCGCAGGAGGCCCCCAAGGCCTGGTGCCCCCTGGCAGCGACACCCCCGGCCCACCCCTTCTCCGGGGGCCTGAGTGGTCCCTCCCGCTGACCGCCAGGCCCAGCCCCCACAGGCCCCTGGGTGTAGTTGCAGTCACAGCCCTGGCTCAGGGGGCTCACAGCCCTGTGGGATGGACAGACTGACTGACGAGTGCCCGGACTCACTGGATGTGGCTTCAGGGGGCACAGCCCAGCAGGCAGTTGGCCTGTACACACAAGACAGGGCCCGGAGCCGCCACGTCTCGCATACCTAGGCCTTCCCGCTGCGCCAGGCCGGGGAGCCGCTCCCGCTGCCGCAGGGCCTCCAGGCCGCCCAGGTCGGGCGGGTGGCTGTGCCCCCGCATCACCGTCACCCGCGGGCCCTGGGTGATGGCCCGGCTGCGGCAGCCCAGCCGGGCCTGGTCCCGGCACGTCCAGTACACCTTGTCCCCGGCCGCCTTCTCCCGTCTGTACAGGAATGAATCGTGCACCAGGAAGTTGCCCCCCAGGGGGGTCTTCAGGAACTCGGGGCCACCTGTGGAGAAGCCAGACCAGGTCAGGAGGTTGAAGGGGATCCTGGAGCCTTGGCCTCAGGGGGCAGGAGTGAAATAGAGGGGTGGGGGCGCCCCACTCTCGGAGCCAAGAGCAACATGGCCTCCCGGGTGAGAACTTCCAGCCCCACCTTCAGCCTGGACCCCCTCCTCACAGCACCGTGGCCCTGGGGCCTGGTACCCAGAACCAGGCCCCCTAAACCCCGCCTGGCCGTCAGCTCCCTGGGACTCCATCCTGAGCCTGGAAGGTGGAGCAGGATCCTGAGGCTGGCTGCCCCCTCCCCCTCCTGGGGCCTGCAGGGCCCACGTGTCCTCTTTGTCCACTCGCACGTCCCTCCCAGGAGCCCAGCAGGGCCCGGAGAGAAGCCTGAAGGCGCCGCCACCCCCGCTCCACCAGCACATGTGGCTCAGAAAATGCAAACAAAGCCTGGGACAGTGGGTAGGAGGGCACCCCGTTTTCTCATGGCAGTAGGTCGTGGGTGATGGGGCAACCGAAAGATCAATGGCTACTCGTGTGAGACCCACTGCTGCTGAGTCGGTTCTGACCCCTGGCAACCGTGCGTCAGAGCAGAGCTGATCGTAGGTGTTAAGGCTGTGACCACCTGGAAGGCGGGTGGGCAGTTGAGCGTGTAACCACTCCCAAGACCAGGGACAACTGTGGTGCAAACGCAGGTATGTCCTGAGAGGTAGGGCAGCAAGGACCCCAGGACACAATGGAAAGTGCTCCAGGGGTCTCTGGATGGGGAGGGGCGAGATTACCATGCCCCGGTGGCACAGTGGTTAAAGCACACAACCACATACTGAGTGGTCGGGGGTTCTGACCCACCAGCTGTCCTGCGGGGGAAATACAAGGCAGTCTACTTCCCTGAAGATTGACAGCCTTAGAGACCCTCTGGGACAGTTTCACTCTGCCCTCCAGGGGCGGTGTGAGTTAGAACTGACTCAGTGGTGGTGGGTTGGTTTTCGGGGGGTGAGATGGAGCCAGAGGCCACTGTGTGCCTGGCAGCATTAGCTCCTGTGCACAAAGGCTCTGAGATGGGGTGGGTCAGGAGCAAGGAACCAGTCTCAAGGCGGAAGGACGGTGACATGAAAGACCCAGGAGACGAGCCCCATGCCTGAGCCGACGACAGGTCCGCGAGCCTGAGAGGCCCACGGGCCAGCACAGAGCTGGGAGCCACTGTGGTTCTCAGCAGGACGACGACGGGACACCTGCCGTGACCTTGTCCAAACACCGGAGGCACCTTCACAGCAGATCACGAGGACCAAGTTCCCAGTCAGATGGCAAGTACAATGCCGTGACGCTGGTTAAAACCAAGCACCATCTAGTGGGACCCCGGGACTGTGGCCCCGACATCGTTCAGACCTGGAACCGAACCCTGCCCTCGGGATCACCTTTCAGCCACACGACGCACAGGCCAAGAGTGAACGATGATGCTCACGGGAACGCGCCCCGCAGGTCACTCCACTGCACGACGCCAAAAGGGCAGGCTCTGCCCTAGAACAGCTCAGGAGGCAGGGCGGGGTGGGAAAGGGATGGAAGTGGGGGCCCAGGGAGGAAGCGTAACAACAGCTGTTACACGTGGGACTATAACCAGAGTTACGGAACCAAACGCGTCCAGGGGCTCGAGGCCAACCACGGGCACTCGGAGGAAGGGCCTGCTGGCCCGTTTCTGAAAAACCGGCCACCGCTGACGCCGTGGAGCATGGCGCGCCTCAGACACGCAGGGTCTGCGCAAACCACCCACCGCCAACATCGTGGAGTAAAGCGCTCCTCGGATACGCGGGGTCTGCGTGAACCACCCACCGCCGACACCGTGGAGTACAGTGCTCCTCGGACATGCGGGATCCAC